GCTCCTAACCATCAACACCACAAGAAAAGGTCACCTTGCCACCTACATGGTGGCCTTCTTAGTTTGGTGGAATGTTTGGTGCCACTTCAGATAATGAGCAGCCAGTTACTAGCTGCGCCACCTCTTGCAGATTTGCCTGGGCGGGTGAAGACAGAGCAGCCCTCTAGCCTTGCCAACTCCAGGCTGAGGAATGCCTGGAGCTTTGAGGAGGGAGCCCATGGAGAGTGAAATCTGGGAAAGGAGAAGGACCTTAGCGGGTATAATGCCAATGCAGTCCACGCACCCAAACGGCCATTTCTTCTCCAGGGGAACTGATCACTGTTCTCTGGAGAGCCATTGTCATTCTGGGAGACCTCCAGGCCCCGCCTGGGGGGTGGCAACCAGTGCTCCCTCTAAGCCGTGGAGTCTTGTGAGCAAAAATTCTACTTTGTGAGCGACTGGCATTAAAGTTGTGAACGAGCGATTTGGCTCCTGAATAAATTACTGAATAAACTGGCTCGGTGGCCAAGACGCTGAACTGCAGACCGGAAGGTCGGTAGTTCGTTAGTTCGAGACCCGAATGCTGCATGACGGAGTGAGCTCCCATCTCCGGCCCCGGCTTCTGCCAACCTAGCAGTTTGAAAGCAAGAAACTGCAAGTACATAAATACTTCAGTGGGAAGGTAACAGCATTCTGTGCGCCTCGGCGTCTAGTCAGGCCGGCCACATGACCACGGGAAACGTCTTCGGACAGCGCTGGCTCTTCGGCTTGGAAACGGAGATGAGCACTGCAACCCTAGAGTCAGACTCGACTGGCTTTTGAGCTAAGAAAAACTTTACCCTTTACCCGGAGCCATCCTTCCTGAGCTAAGACAAAAATGTATGAGCCAGAGGCTAACAAACTGTGAGCTGGCTCACACTGACTCAGCTCAGAGGGAACGCTGGAGGCAACCCTACTTCCCTGCACTCACACACCAGCACTGGAGTCCTGCGTCATCGGCAGGGCAGGAACCCAAGGAGGAGGTTAACAGTTGCAGCTCGTCAAGGTTCACTGCGAGGACACCATCGGTCTACTCCTGGCTGCGTAGATGCAGGATGCAATTTGGGCTCTGGCGGCTCTCGCCGTTCCGGAGGTTTTGAGCCGAGTACGGACAGGAAGGGGGGAAGCCTTTTCAAGTGGGCCAGCTAAACCGAAGGGAGAGGCTTTGCAGGAAAGGGGGTAGCAAGGAAGTGGGGGGGGGGGGGTTTTGAAGGAACCGGGTTTCCTTTCAGGCCCGGGCGGTTGCTTGGAAAGCAGCTCCCATTTTCTAGCCAGCGAAAGAAACGTTTCCATCGGCTGGCTGACGGCCAGGGGCTGGCGGAGGCAGCACTTATGCCGTCCTCCCACGAGTGGTGGGGTGACGAAACTGTACCAGCCCTCCCTTTCTCTATCCAAGGTAAATCGGAGAGTCTCCAAACGGAATTGCCGTGAACAGCTGGATTTTGAGTCCAGATGTGCCTCAGAGACCCTCCAAGACATTAGGAGTGTTTCTTTTATTTACTTCACTCATGCCCCGCCTTTCTCCTTAGTTGGGACCCAAGGTGGCTTACATCATACGCCTCTCCTCCTGTTTGCCCTCACAACAGCCCTGCGAGGTAGGCGAGGCTGAGAATGTGTGACTGGCTCAAGGTCGCCCGGCGAGCTTCCATGGCCGGAGTGGGGATTCGAATCGGGGTCCCTTAGGTCCTAGTCAGACGTTTCCCACCACCACGCTGGCTCTTGATGTACTTGTATCTGGTCAAAGGTGCTTTGACGTTCAGAGCCAGTTTGGTGCAGTGGTTAAGAGCGTGGATTCTAATCTGGGAGAGCCAGGTTTGATTCCCCACTCCTCCACATGCAGCTGCTGGTGTGACCTTGGGTCAGTCACAAGTTCTCTCAGAGCTGTTCTCAGGAGCAGTCCTGGAAAGAGCTCTCTCAGCCCCACCTTCCTCGCAGGGTGTCTGTTGTGGGGAGGGGAAGGGAAAGGAGATTGTAAGCCGCTCCCGTGCCACAAGGTTTGTTAGTCTTTACGGTGCTGCTAGGCCAGGGGTGTCGAACTCGTTACGAGGGCCGGATCTGACATAAATGAGACCTTGTTGGGCCGGGCCGTGTGTGTCATAAAATATAATGCCAGGTAGCAGAGATATAAACTTTATAAAGGACAAAAACACAAGGGGTAGTTTTTTTACTTAAAATAAAAACATGCTTGAAACATTAACTCTGTAAGCTGCAAACCTACTTTTGATTTATTGACATTCACCACAGAAATCTCATGTTCTAAGTCTAGGACTCAGGTTAAAACGTGAAATGGCTGAGCGATTGAGACAGTCTGGCGAAGCAAGCTATGATGCAGCAGCAGCAGCAGAACTGGAAGCAGGAGATGGCCAGTTCCACTACGGGGCCGATCCAAGCCCTCCAGGGGGCCTGATCCAGCCCCCGGGCCGCATGTTTGACACCCCTGTGCTAGACTCTTGCTCTTCTCTACTGCTACAGACAGAGAAACACGGCTGCCCATCTTGATCTATAGAAATGTGCGGAAGAGTAGTACCTCTATGTGTGTGCGCACGTGCGTGTGTGTGTATTTAACCTAGCCCCTCAAAATAAGCACTGTGTGCAGGGGTCATTTCCTGCAGGAGCGCACAGGAGCAAAGCTCCGGCAGTAAAGAGCCCAGGGGGCGGGCACATGCAACAAGCCCCACCCCCTGCTCCCAGCAGCCCTCAGTCAGAGCAAGAAGCAGCCAGGTAAGCTGCAGAGCCCCTGCCCCCCGGCCCAAAACAGTCTAGTGGCACCTTTAAGGCCAAGTTTTATTCAGGCACAAGCTCTCCCTCCTCTGCGAGGACAGATCTGCACGTCCCCCCCCCAATAGCTAGCAATCCAAAACAGTCCAGTGGAGGCTGAGCGGTGGGTGTTGCCTTCTGACACACTTCCGGTGATGTCAGGGTGTGTGGCATATGCAAGTGAGTTATGCTAATGAGCTCCTGCACCTCTTTTTCTACGAAATGACCCCTGTATGGCATACATGGCCCCGCCCAACAAAGTGACGTTTATATCAGATTTTCTACGAAATGACCCCTGACTGTGTGTTTATTCTTCCTTCTGCTCCCTCCTTCTAGGACTGGCCGTTTGACGACGGAGCCCCCCCGCCCACCAAAATCGTTGACGACTGGCTGAACCTGCTGAAGACCAAGTTCTGCGAAGACCCCGGCAGTTGCGTGGCTGTCCATTGTGTGGCCGGCCTGGGACGGTAAGCGGGGGGAGCTTCCTGTCTCTTCCGGGGGCAGCGGGATCAGCAGCCATCCATTCCTGGCTGCGTGCGTTAACGTTTCTTTAAAAAAAAAAAATGTATACCGACTGCATTACAGTTACCCAGATTCTACAGCAAAAACCTGGGTTCTGCGACTGTAGATTATGCATCTGCAGAGATGGATCACTGGTCTGATCCATCAGGGCTCTCCTGAGAGCCAGTTTGGTGTAGTGGTTAAGTGCGCGGACTCTAATCTGGGAGAACCGGGTTTGATTCCCCACTCCTCTACTTGCACCTGCTGATGTGACCTTGGGTCAGTCACAAGCTCTGGCACAGCTGTCCTTGGAAAAAGAGCAGTTTCTGTCGAGAGCTCTCTCAGCCCCGCGTACCTCACAGGGTGTCTGTTGTGGGGAGGGGAAGGGAAAGGAGTTTGTAAGCCGCTCTGAGACTCCTTTGGGTAGTGAAGGGCGGGGTATAAATCCAATCTCTTCTTCTTCTTCTTCTTCTTCTTCTTCTTCTCTCTGGTGTTTATGCCATAAGGCAAGGGTGTCGAACTCATTTGTTATGAGGGCCGGATCTGACATAAATGAGACCTTGTTGGGCCAGGTCGTGCGGTTAATAAAATGTAATGCCAGGTAGCAGAGATATAAACTTTATAAAGGACACAAACACAAAGATATTTTTTACTTAAAATAAAAACATGCTTAAAACATTAGCACTCTTGCAATATTTGGTTTATTTAACAGTGTCTGATAACTGACACCTCTTGCTCTGAATTATTGCATCAAAATGTCTGTGCCATTGCAATCTTGAGTATGCTGTTCAGGTGTGTATCTGTAAGCTGCAAACCTACGATGACGCAGCAGCAGCAGAACTGGAAGAAGAAGCAGAAGACAGCCAGTTCCACTGCAGGCCTGACAGAAGCCCTCTGGGGGCCTGATCCGGCCCCCGTGCCGCATGTTTGACACCCCTGCCATAAGGTGTCCTTAGGTCAGTCATTCTGGCCTTCCCCAGAGGGTCGTTGTGATGATAAAAATGAGAACGGAAGCCTCCCAAGGCTGTTCGCACCCTACAAGAGTCTCCCTACACCTTCAGCCCTGATTAATATTTAGCTGTTATGTACCCTACATATGTACACTGAGGGGGAAAAATCACCTCTAAGGGATCGCATGCATGTGCGAATCAGCCTGGAGCTTTTGGATATCGAGGCTTTTCTCCACAGTCACGAATTGTGTAGGCAAAATTCGGC